GAGGAGAAAATATGTAAAAAATTGTTCATAACTAAAAACATATCTTCATGAAAGAGAATTTTTCTCAAACAGAAACTAAAGAAACCTGGTGGAACGGTTCCTCTCCTTTTGCTCGTAAACCGCTATAATATAACGTCTCGTAACATTCGAGCTATAGTTGCCTCTCTATTTATTACGTCCAGATCCCTATTACGGGACAGTCTCCTTCGCCAAAGTGGAACCGATGCGACCGATAAGAGGACATTTCGTTTGGGTCGCATATTTCGTCCGGTTTTTCTAAAAGCATAAGATCAAAGAGTTCTTCGAAGCATTACATACTTATACGCATTCAACAACCACAACGACAACAATATTCTCAATCTTCTCTTTTTATATATCTCGCCTCTAGTTTTTCAAATCAACAAACTAGAAACTAGATTCTATCATTTATATTCGACTTCTTTAGAGATCTCATTAAAACTTAAATAGTCAACAATCGTAGACAGAGAAATAAATACGGGGTTCAAAGTTGAGACCTCAAAAAAAGAGAGTGCGAGAGATTTGCATTTATTTTATTTCATTAAAGTAGGATAGATAGAAAGAGGATCTTTATGAACCAAAAAAAAAAAAAGAAAAAAAAGAAAGAAGCAAAAAAAAGAGAAAGAAAGAAAGAAAAAACCTTGCACTGAATACATTAAACCAGAACCAAACGTGGAACAGAAAAACCGGAATCGAAACTGGCACTCGAGTGAAAATATGATTCTTGCAACCAGGGTCGAAACGTAACCCAGAATCAAGAGCAACAACTAAAAAAGCATTCGATTAAAATCGAATTCCATTTAGATTTAAAACTCATTTCCATTTCAAGTTATTAAAATGAAACTGAAGGAAAATAAAAAAGATACTGGTAATTTGAAAATTATTACTAAATTTTCGATTCTTTTACGATTCTAATGATTGACTTTAATTGCTGCAAAAAAACCACATTGTTAAAAAAATTTAAAAAGTCAATTCAATTTTATTCATAATTGTCACAAAAATCTATATTAACATTATTTTATATTTTCCTGACCTTAATTTTCAAATTCAAGTATTTGAAAATTCAATAATTTTATTAAATAAATATTTAAATACTTGTTATCTACTTCGATTTATTATTTTATTATTTTTAAAAAATTATTCTTAAGAAATTGTTGAAATTAATTTCTTAAAAAATTAAAATTAAATTTGCTACGAATTTTATTATTTATAAAAATAATTAAATTATTCCCAAGAATTTTATTTGAATTTTAATAAAAATAAGTAATTTCCTGCAAAAAATTATATTATTTATAAAAAATAAATGAATTTTTGCTAAGAATTTTATTAATTCTAAAAATAATAATTGAATACATGTGTCAAAAATTTTTTTCCATAAAAATAATTGAATTGTTCCCAAGAATTTTATTTGTATTTTAATGGAAATAATTGATTTTTTGCAAAAAAATTTTATTATTTATAAAAATAATTGAACTCTTGACAAGAATTTTATTATTTATCAAAATAATTGAATTCTTTGGAAAAATATTATTAAAATTTATGAAAATAATTAATTTCCTGCAAAAAATTTTATTACTGAAAGTATTTTAATATTTACGAAAAATTTTATCATTTTCTGAAAGTAATTGAATTTCTTAGAAAAATTTTGATATTTATAAAAATATAATTGAATTTAAAAATTTTAAATTTTGTTTTAAAATTAATTGAATTGTTTCGAAGAATTTTATTTGTATCTTGAAAAAATTGTTCAGAAATAATTTTAGAAAGATTTGATCATTATTATTTTTCACACTATAAAATACGAAATATTTTGCATTTTGTACTAAAAAAAAATGATATTTTACTGAAATATTTGGACAAAAAACGTCGAATAAGTCTGACGAATTCTCCAAAATAATTCTAAAAAATTTTAATGTTATTGAAATATTTAAAATTTTTAAAAATTAGAATGTAAAAATTCTAAGAATTTCTTTTTTCTAAAATATTTTAAAATAATTTTTAAAAGTAAATTTCCATTAAAATTTTTGAGAATTTGATGATTTTAAAAATTTGCAATTATAATTCTTTAAAAGTTGATTTTCAAAAATTGTAATAAAATACTTCAATTATTTTCTGAACTTAATTGAATTTTTGCTAAAAAATTTTATTATTTTTGATAATAATTCAATTTTTTGGTAAAAAATTTTATTATTTTTGAAAATAATTCAATTTTTCGGTAAAGAATAATTTTATTATTCTCTAGAAATAATTGAATTTCTGGGAAAAATTTTATTATTTAAAAATTAATTGAATCCTTGTGAAGAATTGTATTATTTTCTGAAAATATTCGAATTCCTGTAAAATATTAGATTATTTCAAAAAATAATTGAATCTTGCCAAGAATTTTATTATATTTATAAAAAGTAATTGAATTCTTCCAAAAACTTTTATTATTTATGGAATAAGGACTGAATTCTTTTCAAGAAATTTTTTTTTAAAATTGTTTTCATAATAATTCAATTCCTGTAAAATGTCTTTTATTTATGAAGTTAATAATAGAATTCTTGCGAAAAAATTTATTATTTCTTAAAATAATTGAATCCAAATGAAGAATTTTATTATTTTTTAATATAATGAATATAATTGAATTTTGTTGAAGAATTTTATTATTCTCTGAAAATAATTGAATTCCTTAAAGAAATTGTATTATTTAAAGAATAATTAAATCCTTATTGTGAAGAATTTTATTATTTATAAAAAATTACTGAATATTTAATCCAACTGAAGAATTTTATTATTTTTGAAAATAATTGAATTTACTTGAAGATTTTTATAATTCTCTCTGGAAATAATTGAATTTCTGTGAAAAAATTTATTATTTAAAAAATAATTGAATCTTTGTGAAGAATTTTATTATATATAGAAATTATTGAATTCATTCAGAGAGATTTGTTGAAATTGAAATGAAAAAAATTGAATTTCTTCGAAGACTTGTATTATATTGTTAACGAAAATAATTGAATTCTTTGAAATTTTTGAAAATAATTGAATTTCTTCGAAGAATATTGTATTATTGTTTACGAAAATAATTAAATTCTTTGAAATTTTTTTGAAAATAATGTAATTCCTACGATGAATTTTCTTTTACTATGAAAAAATTTCTATTGTTTTCCTGAATTTGTCTAAAATTTTTGAAAATAAAGAATAAAATAATGTTTTTAGTTACTTAGTAAATTAGTGATTTTTTTTTAAATTCTGAATCTGAAATTATTCAAAAATTTGAAGTTGATATTTAAAAATGACCAATTTTTGTAATTTCTAAAATTTTTCAATACAATTATTACAAGTAAATTTTCATTAATTTTCATTTTAAAATTTAGACTTGAAGATTTTTCGTTAAAATTTTTGAGAATTTAATTTTTATAAAAATTTGCAATTAAAATTCTTCAAAAGTTGATTTTCAAAAATTGTAATAAAATACTTAAAAAAAAAATATAAACTATTTTCAATTAAATGTTTACAAAATTTGTTAATTATACGTATATTTTTAAAATTTTTACTATCGTAATAAAATTATTCAAAAATATAATTTTGAAAAATTTGTCTATAGTTATTTTTCACACCATAAAAATCGAAATAAGTGGCATTTTATACTAGAGAAATTGTGGTATTTTGTTGCAACTTTTGGAAGAAAAGTCGAAAAAGTCTCAATTTTTGAAAATAAATCGAAAAAAGTCGAAAAAGTCATAATATTCGAGGCCTGGGACTGTGAAAAATATAAAAACAATTCTATTCGATCGTCGCAGAGAAAATAGAATAGAAATTCCAAACAGGAAAAAATATTTCCATTTTTTTGCGCCTAATAAAAACAATAAAAAAATTCTCTTCTCTCGTTGCAGAGAAAATAGAATAGAAATTCCAAACGGAAAAAAGTCGTCAAATAGAGAAAATTCGTAGAAAAAAAACATTAGTGAAAATGAGTAACTGAAATTCCAATGGTGCTAATGTAAATTCTATGAAATTTGCCTATAGAATTTGGTGTCCCCATGGGGGAAAAAAAAGAAGAGAGAAGAGAAGAGAAACCCTATGGAAATTTTTCCGTCAACTTAACTTTCCAGGGAGTTAATCCGATTTTCGAAATGTGCAGAGGGAAAAACGAGGAGACTCAGCGACGACGACGAACAAGCAGCTGCCGTGAATCGAAATCGTGCGCATATATATTTGGTTTTGAGAGAGATACCTAGTGAATTTTTTTTCTTGTTTTTTCCTCATCTGCCCTGGTTTTTATTTTTTTTTGCGGGTGCATTTTCAATAGAAGAAAAAGCCAAGGCAAGGCAAGCCAAAGCCAAGCCCCCAGTCGAAATAACGGGGTGATAATTATATCGAAATCAATAAAGATAAGCGGATGATATTTATGTTACTATAGTAGCCTGGCGTCGGTTTTACCGGTCCCTCGTTTTCTGTGGTTTGGTGGCGAGCTGGGGCACAACGGGACGGAGGGGAGGAAACAGTCGGCGCTTTTGATCTGAGCCGCGAGCGCCGACAAAGTCGTCTCTCTTACTCCGTCAATTCCCGTGTGAGTGAGCGAGACGGACAACTCCCTCTCTTTCTCTCTCTCTCTCTCTCGCTCTCTCTTGTTCACTCGCTCTCGTCACGCGAGAAAGACGACAGTAAACGATAACAGAAAAAGAGAAACCGAGATGGAAATAAAATAGAGAAGAAACGATACCAAAGCAAATGGAAAAGAAGGAGAAAACGATTCGAGAAAAATAGAGAATGATGTGGAGAGATTCGCGCAAGAGACCAAGTTTGTGAGTGAGAGAGAGAAAGAGAGATTCGTTGAGGGGTCATTCCATAACAAATCGATCGTATTTCGGAGCCATACTTTGAACGATACAATTCGGAAATTCTCTAATCTTCGCCGCCGACTATCAGTCTCTCTCTCTCTCTCTTCTTTTAGAAAAAAAACGTTATGCTGAATTTTCCTATTTTTTTCGGTTCACCTTCTTCTTTTTTTTTTGGTTTTTTGAAGATACCGTCTCTCTGCCGATGAAGAAGAAGAAGATTTAAAATTCGTGATGATACAGCTGCTTGATTTTTTTCTCTCTCTCTCATTCCCTTCCTCATCACGCCTATAAAAAAATAAATGATTTCAATATATTTGTCTAGATTGTCATTCACGCAGTAAATTATAGTCCAAGGGAATATTCATATAAAATTTATATAAACGTTTTCTAACCGTTTAAATGAGACGCTAATTTACTATTTTCAAGATCAGAGACATTTTTTTGGATCTAAACATAAAATGGAGAGCAAAGGACGAAGATCAATAAGAAATAAAAATAAATACCTACGATAATAAAAAAAAACAAAAAATAAAGTAAATAGATAATAAAAAACAATATAATAAGAAAATTTTATTAATAATCAATATTTTGGATGTTATTTCGAAGTTTAAAGTTAGTTATTTTTTTATATTCATGACTTTTATCAAAATTTTTGAAAATGTTATATTCACAAAAATTTTAATTTTTGTATAAATTTTTAGAAATTTCCCCAACTTTCAATGAAACTCTCTGACATTCCCTGAACGTACCCTGTTAATTGTGTCCACCCTTTGGTAAAAAAAACTAAAATTTTCAAAAATTATCAAAAATTCGAAAAACCGAGTTTTCTTAAAATTCAACATTTTTTTCTTCTCTTTTGTGGCACTTATAGCTTTATTATTTTTGGGCTCTTCAAAAATACTTTACTTATTTAATAATCTCCACTCTTTGGTAAAAAATCAAAAATTATTTAATTTCTTCAAAAATTCGAAAAACCGAATTTCTTAAAATTCAACATTTTTTCTTCTCTTTTACGGCATTTAGCTTCATTATTTTTGGGCTCTTTAAAAACATTTCTGGACTTTACCCTGACTTTCATAATTTTTTTTAAATATTCGAATTTCTGTAAAAAATGAGATTATTTAAAAAATTAATTGAATCTTGTAAAAAATTTTATTATTTGTGAAAATAATAGAAATTTTTCAAGAAAATTTTATTATTTATGAAAATTATTGAATTCTTTACAAGAAATTTTTTTAAAAATTGTTTTGATAATAATTCAATTCCTGCGAATAGTTTTATTTATGAAGATAATAATAAAATTCCTGCAAAAAATTTTATTATTTATTAAAATAATTGAATTTTTTTTACAAGAATTTGATTATTTACTGAAAGTATTTTAATATTTACGAAAATTTTTATCATTTTCGGAAAGTAATTGAATTTCTTAGAAAAATTTTGATCCTAATTATAAAAATATAATTGAATTTAAAATTTTTAAATTGTTTTAAAATTAATTGAATTGTTTCAAAGAATTTTATTTGTATCTTGAAAAAATTATGCAGAAATAATTTTAGAAAGATTTGATTATTATTATTTTTCACACTATAAAATGAGAAATATTTTGCATTTTGTACAAAAAAAAAATGATATTTTACTGAAATATTTGGAAAAGAATTTTATTATTTCTGAAAGAAATTCAATTTTTTGGTAAAGAATATTATTATTTCAAAAAATAATTGAATTTCTGAAAAAAATTTTATTATTTCAAAATTAATTGAATTCTTGCGAAGAATTGTATTATTTTCTGAAAATATTCGAATTCCTGTAAAATATTAGATTATTTCAAAAAATAATTGAATCTTGTCAAAAATTTTATTATTTATGAAAATAATTGAAATTTTTCAAGAAAATTTTATTATTTATGAAAATTATCGAATTCTTTACAAGAAATTTTTTTAAAAATTGTTTTGATAATAATTCAATTCCTGCGAATAGTTTTATTTATGTATGAAGATAACAATAGAATTCTTGTGAAAAATTTTATTATTTATTAAAATAATTATGAATTCTTGCTAAGAATTTTATTATATCTGTACAAATAATAATTGAATTTTTTGACAAAAATTTTTATTTTTTATTAAATTGTTGAATTCTTGATAATAATTTTACTATTTATAAAAATAACTGAATTCTTCTGAAGAATTTTAAAATATATAAAAATAATTGATTTTTTTCGAAGAATTTTATTACTTATTAAAATAATATCTACTTGAATTCATACGAAAAAATAATTAATTATTATAATAATTGAATTCTTGATAAGGATTTTATTATTTGTACAAACAATAATTGAATTTTTTGGCAAAAATTTTATTATTCTCTCTGGAAATAATTGATTTCTTGTGAAAAATTTGTTTATTTAAAGAATAATTGAATCTTTGTGAAGAATTTTATTATTTTTAAAAATTAATGAATTCTCTCAAAAAATTTTGTTGAAACTAAATTAAAACTAATTTAATTTTTGCAAAGAATTATATTATTGTTTATGAAAATAATTGAATTCTTGCGTTTAATTTTTTAATTTATAATAATATTTGTTTGTTTTGCTGAATATGATTGAAGTTTTTGAAAATAAAAGAATAAAAATAATTTTTTTCACTTATTTAGTTAATTAGTGAATTTTTTAAAATTTTGAATCTGAAATTATTCAAAAATTGAAGTTTATATTTAAAAATAATCAATTTTTGTAATTAGCACAATAATAATAAATGAAATATTGCGTTTCTAGCTGAAAATTTGCTAGTGACAATAGTAAAATAAATACAAGTATAAAATAATTACTATAGTAATTAATAATGAAAATAAAAAATAATAGTAAAAAAATAAGTAATAATAAAAAGAATTAGCAATGACAATAAAGAATATTTTGAACAAACTAACGGACGCGACACGCTTGGAAAATGTATAGAGAACGCCAGCACTCTAATCCATTTCAAATGACAATTAGAGTGTACGCTTATTAATTAAATTAAATAATTAGTAGAACAAGACATGACTTTGCGAAATAATACGAAACAATTTGAATAATTTCAGGTTTTCCATATATAATGAGGAGTCAATTATATTCCGAAAACGATTACAAAATATCTTCAGTAATGGAACACGATGCGATCAAGAGAAGCAGAAAATAATTATTTAATGGGCATTTCTATGAAAACACAATAATGAGGATTATAGTTATAATTAAATTGAATATTTGTTTCCCTTGTGATGAAAAAAAGGGGAAAAAGAAAAGAAAAAATATTAAATGCTCTCTCTCTGTGAGAATGAGAAAAAAGAAAGAATAATATATATACGGCAAATGAAATTGAAGATTACCAAGCAAATAATATTCATATCTGGCGATATTAAGTTCATACTTGCTTTTTATATTAAAGAAAAGGGGAAAGAGAGGAAAAAAACGACCTCACGATCAACAATTTACAAGTTTCTTTTACCTTTATCCTTTTATCATTGAAAACAGGGAGAATATTGCAAATTATAAATTTACACGTATTTTAAATAAATTTTATTAAAAAGTCTTATTTGAAGTTTTTTCTTTTCTTTCTTTTTTATTAAATAAAGTAGAAATTTGTTTGATAAAATCATAAATTTATTATGTTTGTATTTTAAATATCAATCTAAGTTATAGAACAAAAATGCAATTTATAATTTCTTTTCATAAAATATTGAAAATTGCATTGAAATTTTTGGTTCTTCATTAATTTTAATAGCATTAGAGAATAATAATTTTTAATTTATTTCTATTAATTCCCATTAATTTAATTTTTAATAGCCCCTACAATTTTTTTTACGATTTCTAAATAATTTTTCATAGAATCCTTTAAAATATTAATTTATATATATTTTTATCAAAATATTTATTCTTTTCCGCAATTATTTAAGGGAAAGGACCAGTGAAATTTATTTTGTTGATAGACGAGAATAATAAATAAAAATTGTGGAAGAAGTTAAATTTCGAAAGAATCACCAGTGGGATTTCAACAAATAAAAATTTACATTCTAAAAAGGCGACAATTTTTTTTCTTCATTCTCTGGAATCCAGAACTATATTCCACCATGAAAGATAAAATCGAAAAATATTTGTTGACCATTTTTCAATTTTTGTTATCCTTCAGAAAATATTTTGTAAACGTTGAAATATTTTGAAATCCATACAAGAACTTCTGATTCTTCGGAACCATGGAAAACCTAAACAAAAAAATTGCAAATTAATAATGAAAATTGTTAAAAAAAATTAAATTTGAATTTTTCCATGAATTCAAGGTTTTAGTATGTAATTTAAAAAAGGAAAATTTTTTTAAAACCAATAAATTGTTTTTGAATTAAAGACATTTTTTTTAAATTAAAGAATTTTTTTTTTTTAATCGAAGAAAAATTAAATTTTAATCGAAGAAACAAGCCAAAGCTTAAATAATTTTTTTAAATAAACGAAAACTATTTCACTTTCCCTGATTTTCTTGACCTAAGGCATCCATGAAAAAATAGAAAAATAAAATAAATTATCTACTAAAATTGAAAAACGAGAGTCTAGTTTGCAACATTTTTAAAAACGAAACAGTAATTAGTATTTTTTCCCCTTAAAATTGGTGAAAAAGTGAATTTTTTTCTAACAATAAGTGACAAAAAATTATAATTATAATTATTACAATTTCAAATAGGTACAATTAACTAATTAATTATTATTCTTTAATTTCTAAACGTTTTAATAAAATTCTTCAAAACAATTCAATTATTTTCAAAAATTTTAATAAAATTCTTCTCAAGAATTCAATAATTTTTAAATAAAAAAATTTTTCGCAGGAACTTATTTATTTCTATGTATAAATAATGAAATTTCCATAAATTTTAATAAAAATTCTTATCAAGATTCCAATTATTTATAAATAACAAAATTCTTCACAAGAATTCAATTCTTAATAAAAATTATAAAATTCTTGGCAAGAATTCAATTACTTTACATAAATAATAAAATTCTTTGCAAGAATTCAATTATTTTCAAGATAATTTAGAAGAAATTCCTCAAAAGATTTTCACTTTTTAAAAAACTTTTTATTAAATTATTCACAAATAATTCACAAATAATCAAATTCTAGACAGAAGTCCAATTACTTTCAAAAATTTCAATAAAATTTTTGGCAAGAATTCAATTTTTTGGCACATAATAAAATTCTTCGAAAGAATTTAATTATTTTCAATATAATCTAAAGAATTTTCTATTCTTTATAATTTTTCTTTGATTA